TTGTCAAAGCGATTAGTTATCAGATAAATCTAGCATAATTAGTATGAACATTAATAGCTAAATTTCTCTGAGTAAGCAGGATTTCTATCGGTCATTGATGAAGTGTCCCACAAAGCATTTAATTTAGGATGAGAGTTATATAGATATATGTTGTATATTTAACCGATTTATATATTTACGATAAAAATATTCAATTTAGAGATGGCCATAAAATGTCTGCAATCACAAAAGGCACAAGTGTTATGTTAACCTAACATGAATATTTATGCACATTCGGAATTATTTTTGTCAACATATATAATTCACTCTTATCTCTATTAAAATATAGCATTATCTACCAACAGTGATTGAAAGGCAAAGAATTTACTTGAGTGCATAAACTAGTGTTTCTACTTTCTGAACAAATTGACACAATTCTATGGTTAGTTGTCGAATATAGCCTAAATACATATTCTAGCCCAGAGGTGCATAGCCACGATTTTGTTATTTAAGGAAAATTGTTTAGTGACTTACTTATTTTGGTATGACATGATTTATTCACCTAATCTCATTTAATTTTTGCTTCAGTAGTTGTCGTAATACCTTATAATTTTGTAGTAATTTTTTAACGCTCATTTTATAGATATAAGTTGAATACCCATATTTCGTCTAAGGTTATGCTGCAGATTGCATTAATGCGAATCGGTTGTCTCCGTTCGTGGATGTGCAGTTCAGCACGATTGCTTTCTTCGGATAGTAAGCCTTCTCGTTCAATTCGAAGGAAGGGTAAAGGATCAACGAATAATCGCGAACCCGCTAACGGGAAATCTAAGATCACTCCTTCCACTAGGTTTGTTAGATTTCTAACGCCATCGTATTTGTCGCTTAATAGTGAACTTTTGCAAGACTTTCTTGGTCAAGTACCTTTCACAAAGCATGAGACGTCGAATAAACTTAAAGTGGAGGCCGTCGGAGCTAAAGATGAAAAGACTCGGCATGGGAGGCATAGAGTAGCCCTCCAAGATGCTCATCAGGACAGAAACACCGTTAAATCTATGTAAGTTAATCTGAAGGTCTGTTTATTTTGCTAGGGACCTTTTGCGACATTTTGTAAATACGAAGGGTCAGCCTTCGCAAGAATTTCTCAAATCAATCACGCAGGCTAACCGCCGATCCATCAGAGTTCGTCACACTGAATCGTGAGTCTGATTTCCGTTACCTAGCTCGTTCATTTAGACTTCCTCAACCAGCTAAGTTAAACTTATTTGATGAAACGTCCTTCCAGGATTATGCAGTTGATGAATCGGCTTATAAAAACGATGTCTTTAATGAGATTAACTCTCTGGAAGCATCTGCATATCGTGCAAAGTCTACGCATAATCACTTTGAAGAGTTAATCCAGTGGACCCTGGATGGAAAACTGTGGAAGTTCCCTATTAACAATGAGCAAGGTATGAAGCCTATTTTTTATTAATCCGTGACCTAGATTGCGTTGAGGAATTGGAAACTCCCTTTCATGAACACGTCTTCCTGAACCGCTATTTGAAGAATAAGAAATCTGGGGCGAAGTATCCTGCACCCCTGAAAGCATTCATGGACCTAGTTTGCGCCGGTCTGGGTCAGAATCCCTACATAACTGCCCAGCAGAAGAAAGAACATTTGGAATGGTTTGAGGGTTACTTCGCCAGCAAAGTAAAGAACATTCAGGCTGCTGTGGATGAAGAAAGGCGCATTGCTGAGGCAGAAGCTAAAGCTAGATCGATGAAATCTTAAAAGTATTTTGTGACCTTTTTTTCCTTTTTGATAGATATTGAAATAATATGTACATATATATATATATATATATGTTCATCTTTTACTGCACCCACTTACAGTACTTTTCTTAATTCGATGAAAGGTATTTTTATACTGGTCGGATGAGCCAATGCATAGCTTTAAGGTTATAATTTTAAGGAGAGTTTTGAGATTTTCCCCATGAGGTTCGGAATTGTCATTAACTATTCCGGTTAGAAGAACTGATGCTGTCAGATGTTTACTTGTTCAGCACTGTGAATCACGCCGTCACAATTGAAAGATTTGAAGCATTCAGAAATCGCGGATGGCGATTAAACTTTAATACCCTTTCTTTAAATGCCTGCATTCAATTGGAAATGCAGCTTTTCACTGTTTTCCAGAGGGGAAATTTCCGTATTTGAGTATAGGATTGATTGGAATTTGATGATTTCGAAACTATCAATCATAGCGGATATACCAATTCACAGACACTTATGAAGGGATGGCATCCATGAGGTATTTAAATTATTCACGAAGATCAGCTCTTTTAAATGATTTTGAGGTATCTTCATTCTCACCTCCATGTGATGCACACTGGACAACGTACACTAAACACCAAAAACGTCCATAAACCGACAGTCGACTGTAACAACCATGACCCCACTGTGTCAAATTAGGCCCTACCCTTGCGTCCGTCTCTTACACTTGTGAATTGCTCATCTGTTCCCGCTCTCCACATTGTTTCTCCTTACGGTGAAGCCTTAAGTCAGCCAAAGAGCTAATGATAACTATCAAAAGGCCTGCCATTAGACATAAATATCCCCCCCCTCTCATTAGTCGAAATGCATTGGTGAAGGTCAGCTCTCCAAGCATTACAAAAGGCTTATCGATAATTACTTATAGGAGTAACTTTAATACCGGCACTTCAGTTTCCCAACACGTTAAACTCAGAGACAGCTCCCAAATAAAGCAAATGATCCACCGAAATCCTTATAGGATAGAACTGCCATTCCAAGATCAGAAGACCAAAGTTTAAAAGAAATATAAGATCCTATTGGGCAAGCGACAGCATGTGATCAAAATCGTGAATTCAGTAGAAAACTGGTCTCTGTAAATACTATTTTTCCAGGTAATGGTATTATTAATGATAGAAGACCAGAACCCCCAAATTTGTTAAAATGCGATTACTGGTAAGTAGAAAATGATTTGATTTCTGGATATCCAATGATAACACCAATGATGAAATGTAATAAAAAAGGACAAGCGCAATGACAAAGCCAGTGTTATTTAAACTTTGTCGAAAATGTAAATACGGATCTTTGCAGTTCTCGGGAATAAATCACCAAATTCTTATTTATAAGGGCTGTTTCCTCAACTACTACAGCTACTCAAAACCGACGAAAGAATACAACCAAAACAATCCAAAAAAACAACACTGATATTCATCCAGTAGAACTCAAAAGCCATATTCAATTTGTTTACAATGTCGGAAAATAAGTAGGATAATTAAACATAAGAGATGTACATTCTCACTTAGATGAGACTTAATCAATTTCCCACACACGTAACGCCATTCTACAAAAGAATAGCTGACTCGTGTGAAATACAAATATTTATTTGTTAGCAGTTGTTCAAACGAAAATGACTAACTGCTTTTAATTTACCACGCATGTAACGCTGCCTTAAAAACATAAGGTAGCTGACTCGCGTGATTCGAAGATTTTAACATTTACCATTCATATATTAAAATGGTAAATCCAAAACACTTTGAAATAATAATATAGATCGCAAAGAATTCAATCTTCGCGAAACTCAATTTACCATTGTAACTGGGTCCACAAAAACATGAGAACCAATGGGACAATGGATAACAAGTCATAAAAAACAGATGTTACAACATGGGGTCGCAATGAAAGAAATAGCAAACTAGACTCACATATACAAAGCTGAATACAGACTAACAATCAGTATAAAGATTAAAAAAGAGTAATATTAGCGGCCGATCAATAATTAAAACAACCGCTTTCCATTTTCCACACACGTAACGCCACAATATTAAAATATTGTAGCTGACTCGTGTGAAATAAAAAAATCCCCATGGGAATAATAAATGTCGCCTAACATAGAAAATTAAATCAAGGCTTTGCTTAAATATACCACGTTAGCGATGCCACTTAGAAAGAATTCTTTGTGGTTGACATACGTGGAATAACGCAGCTGTACAAGGAAGAAATATAATATCCACAAGCATATTTATTGCGGTAGATTTACAGATTCAAATTTATTCGTCGGCTTCTTCTTTCTCTTCTCCACCGTTCTTTGCCTTCTTTCGAGCACAACGACCCAGTTTACCGGCGTTCTTAAGACTAACATCAATGTGTTTCTGTGAGTCGAGACGCACCATGAAGCTTGGACAATCGACAAGTTGTTTACGAACACGAATATGCCTTTGGCGAATCAAGACACGCGCGTGGTGAATGGAACGGGCAAGACCCATTTTATAAACAATAGTCTGCAGACGTCTTTCGAGGAAATCCTCGATCTTTAAGCCGAGGACAAAATCTAGTTTCATCTTGTCCTCCGGCAAGATGCCCATACGAACAAGACGCCTAAGCAGCGCATTACCTAAAAAACAATAATTTAGACATGTCATCATTTAAGTGATATGTGCATAACACTGGACAATACCTTCAAATTGCCTTCGAAGGTTGCTCTCCTCAAGAGTCAATAATTCTCGTGCATTTTTGCGAATTTGTGCGAGGCTCAACTTGACACGCCAAACTTCACGCTTATTTCTAAGACCATACTGACCAATAAGTTTTAATTCTTGGTCCAAACGTTCCTTCTCATAAGGTCGACGAGGAGTGGAAAAAGTCTTGGAATAAACCTTCGGTACCCGGCTCATGTTAGCACAACACGACAAGCAAAAGCCAAAATTGCGCGATTAGTGAAGTTTAAAACAAACTGTTATTTTTCGATAATCCCGAACACATTCATAAAAGTATGTAATAAAATAATAAAAGTATTTTATTCTTCAAATATTTTTTATTATATGTAATCTAATGAATATTTCTAAATATACCTTTCAAATAAATCTGTTAAATGTCAACTATCAAAAAATTGTTTTCTTACTTGCAAATTTTTCATTTATTTCAGCGCTTATTATTTATTCCTCCTTTTTTATTATATATTTTTTACGCAGATATATTATTTAGCGAGGCATTTATGAAATAGCGAGATGGGTTGCTTTTAGACACATTAAAAATATTTATCGCAATTGGCTTAAATTTTTCAAATGCCTGTAACTTCATGACAAATTTATTTGAAGGTTAAATGGATATATCCTACTAATTAGGTATTAACAAAACTAATACACATTGTACATGTGTGAAACATTCCCTTTCTTAGATGATTACTTTAAATGAATTGACGATTTGGTCCTCTAAAACTTGTAACTAATAAATGTTCTGGAAAGAGAAAATATATGTGAAATTAATTTAAGGTAGAGATAAATCAATGCAGGTTATTTTGTCTTGTTGAGGATCTTAATGTTCGTTTTCGACTGTTATTTCTGACAAGATGAGTATCGTTCAAATGTGAAGGGAGTGAATGAGAGGAAGGGGAAATGGGGTTAAAGAAACGTGTTGTCTGATTTTGTGGCTCTTCACTTTCCATTGGAATTGAATATGAGTTGTTTGAGGAAGGTGACGAATTTAGCGCTGGGTAGTTTCCGTCTCCATCAAAATCACTGAGAAGGTATTCATTACTGTGTTCGAAACGGGAATCCTCACTGTCTAGTTGCATATTATCATAAAACAAATTATTTGTACTCGAATTGCGATTAATATTGGCCTCAAATAAAGTTGAATCGCTTGCGACGCTCATTGAATCATGGTTTATGTCTACGAAAATAAAAGCTTTGATTAGAAATCGAGGTAATACATTATTGTACGATGTTAAAAATTCGAGTCATGACATTTTCCCATCGAAATCCGTTATACTACCTTTTTGGCATAATGATTTAAATATAAGAAAATCAAATTTTTTCACAATAACTTTGCATGCACGACACTTTATTTTGCTCGATTTAATTCGGCTAACTTTTAGTGAACATTCGATCAAAAGAATTAGTTTTAAGATTTCGATTAACACGTTTAGAAACAAATTTATAATTTTCTAAAATGCATCTTGTTTCGATAGTGAGAATTTGGTCGTTTTATATTGTGATTTACTCAGATTATATTTTTAACTTGTCCAATTCCATTTGGAATCTGGTTAATATTAATTCCAGGAGGAGTATCATATCAGAGGAATAAAGTGCAACTAAATCTAAGTAATCAAAATAGTTCGACTTTTTATGTTACCTGGTTCGTTTTTCAATTTGTTTTCTACGATAATGATTAGTTAAAGGGTAAATTAAATGATCAAATATAATGCAAACCAATACTATTATTGGGCACATATCAATGAGGAAAATTCCGATTTAGAAAGCATTAATAATCATTAGAATTTTGTATTCAGCTTACTATTATTGGATTCAGGTAGTGATGGGTTTGATATGATGGCAACTGTATCTGTGCTATGGACCGGATTTACTTCATCAGCGGTTGTCCAAGCTTGATATCTACTCGTCTGTGGATCCACATACTTTGATACTAAGTTCCGGTTCTTTAGTGTACAAGCACAAGTGGCACTTGCGGGGAAAGTCAATGGACGAACCTCGATACATTCTCTGGTATTGGTATCAAACCTTTCTACGATATTAAGAATACCCGCTTCGGGTTCATCAGACCAGCCACCAATAATGTAAATGTCATCACCAAGCACCGCAGAAGATAAGTTGCTCTTTCTTTTATTCATTTGTCCAACAATCTCCCACTTGCCCGACATTGGATCGTAGCGTTCAATACTTCTGAGGCGTGCACTTCCATCGTTACCACCAATAGCATAAAGATAGCCGCCATGGGAAGCCAATGATATTCCACCTCGTGGAGAATGCATACGGCTGATGAGAGTCCACTGATTAGCTTCAGAATCATAGTACTCCGCAGAGTCATGATAACGGCGCCCTTCGAATCCCCCTGCAACGTAAACTCTGCTATTAAGTTCAGCAGCTGCTGCATCACTTCGAACACGATTCATTGAGGCTATCGGTTGCCAAAGATTCTCATCCAGATTGTAGCGTTCAGCGGTGTCTAATCTACCTTGATTTTCTCCATTATGACCACCGAGGGCATATATGTAGTTTGAAGCGTATGCTACGCTTACATAATACCGTTTTTCGTACATGCAACTTATCTCATACCTTAAATAGACAAAAATTAAATTATTAGATAAAACGATATAATTCACAGAATTCTTTTAGTTGCTAACTTGCCATCCGGAGTCGACTTCGAAATCATAGCAAAGAGTGGATTTCAGTGCATTTGAACCGTCAAAACCTCCCACTAGGTAAACACGGTTTCTCACTTGAACACAACCCGCATATACTCTTCTGGGAATTTCTCCTATCAGACAGGAAATATCATTAGAAGTGGTGAATTTTTCTTCACATTGAAAAAGTCCTTCTGGAAGTTTTGGAGAATCCGGGCCGTCAGAACGGAGGTTGGCTAACCACTCGTAGTGAGGACATTGAGTTTGACAACCGAGATCTGTCCAAAGAGTCCACGAATTACTGCAAGGACTAAAAATTTGAGCTGCTGCCCTAGGTCCTTCGCCATCGCACCATCCTCCGAAAACACAAAGGACCTTGAAAATGTTGATAAAATTATTCAGAACAAATATTGTAATTGGTTTGCACTAAAGGCTTAGTGTTCATAGCATTTTCGCTGGGTCCATATATATTTAATATTAACAGAAATATGAAAATTGAGAGTAAAATGAATCAAATAATATTGTTATAGGTTCGAACCAAGAAGTTTGGGATTTTTATTAACAATTTGTTAAAGCAGCAATGACAAAATGCGAAATAAATGAATTTAACCATCGTGATTCGTAAAATTATTTCAAATGAACTCAACTGAAATCGAAGTTTCTGATACTCGAATTATCTTAAGATCATATAAATGGTTAATAGTGCTAGTCCAATACTAATATTGAATCACCTTAAATATCTTGCATTTTCAGTATCACTTCGAAAATTTCCTTAATTATTAATTTTCGTTTATTTTTTATAGTTTGTCTTCATTGTTGACTCGGTATGCAAGACAGTTTTATTTAAAAATGAATAGTATGCTTGATTTAACCATCGAATACACTACTTAACAGATTAAATTGATTATTGCAGAAATTAGTTAAGCCACGAATTGTGTTACGCACAATAGAATATAATAATGTATTTACAAAAGAAGTTGATTTATGCCATACAGTTTCAAGTTCAATAAATATCTTAGCTTAAGCCTACCTCGTGTGGGGTTCTGGGTTTAGTCAATTTAAGCTTCTGATAAACGTCAAGACGATCCATTAAAGAATGGATGCTATTTGGCCAATTTTGAACAATCTGAGCGAATTCTGGTATCAGCATCAGGTGTTCATGACTCTTAACTTGTTCAAGATCGCTATTTCTCATCATTCCCATTCGCACATTTGAGAGGAGTTTCAGAGCATGTTCGGCGCGTAATTTAAGATCGCTTGCCACCCATCTTACTATAGCTTTGTAGACAGACACTTCACTTTTACAATTAAGAGCATCGTTCTTCAATATGCTTTCTATATCTTCAGACTCCATTTGAAGAAATTCATCCGATTTCCAAACGGTTTCGAAGTTCTCCAAGATCTTCTGATATGCAGTCTCGCCGATTTCTGCCCAGAAAAGTTTACGTCCATTCATCCAGAGATTAATTGCTGCCGAAGGATCATTGGCAAGTTCATTAATGTAGCTAGCACATTCTTCCTTTAATTTCGGCACCAACAAATAGTCAGCAGCAATAAAAACATCATATATATTCTCAGGGGTAATTTTGGTACTACCACGTCTGATATATTCCACAACAGAATAAAAACCAGCATTCAAAAATTCGGGTAATCGAATAATGCCTCTGCCTCTATGATACCGAAGTAATCTTTCAAAGTAGGAGCTTTGTTCAGCTAGTTCCACGGTTACAATACTACAGATATCACCAGACTCCATAAACTCGACGGCTCTATCACAGAGAAAATCGGTTTCACTATCCTGGGGAAAATAAGTCTTCTCTTGCTTATTGTTATTAAAAGGGACACTTGCGTTTCGACGTCGTGTTCCATTCTGCTCTATCGCATAGGACTTTCGTGTCTCCCGTTGCCTTACATCGCTTGTTGATCGACGCATTTTCACTATGAAGATTTAGGTCTGGAATAATTATTTTTATTTTAGTCAGTTTATGGAAATAAATGAGTGAGATTTTGTGAGAATATAAAGACGATTTCTTAAGCTACTGTCAAAGTCAATGATCACGCGTTTTCATCGATCCAACAATGGCGTTTATTTTAAATAAGCATGTATATGTGAAAGTAATCTAGATATAAAACTTTTCGACTCACATTTCCAAAGATTCATAATTTCTTCTGGTAAAATAATGAGAGCCTAGCAGTTTTGTTATATTTCCCTTGCTATATTTATCGTGATTAGAATAAGCAATGTTAGTAGTAGATTAAATTAATTTAAAATTAGGCTTATTATCCGCAATCGATAAATAATTCGCTCGAATTGGAAATATTTGCCAGGAAATTACTTAACATTAGACATAAAACTAAAATAGGATATGTACTTCTGTACTTTTCTTAATATTGATTAAATCTGTTTACTCGTGCTTGCATCTAAATCCTATTATGTCAAAACCATTTAAATCACAAATTACTCAAGTAAACAGGTAATTTATTAAGCATAAATGTTTATGGCTGAATCAAATAAATTTCATTTTTTTGAAGACCGCTGTCTTCTGTATTCATCCTTAATTGCGTCCATTATTCTTTGTGAAGTCCAATCAGGATGTCTTGTTCTGAGACATTTGTACGATTGGCAAACAAATGTTAAATAATCAGAGCACTTTGAATTAGGGCAACTTCCTTTATAGTTGCTCATTAAACCGTGAGCTTTATTCACGTAGGTGGCCTTTTGTTTAGGATCTAGCTTTCTCCACTTGTCTGCAACTTTTCGTGAAAATGTTGCCATGTCACCACTCCATAAAGAAGCATTGTCTTGCACAAAGAGAACATAAGCATTTGGAGGTCGCTTTGGTTTGTCGCTGGTGAGAGATGATCGTTTACCTACCCGTTTGGGAGTTCCAGCATTGCACAGAGTGGGTTTAAGGGACCTGTTTTCCATTTTTGCCGGGCTTGACTTAGCGCAACCCATGATTTGATTGTTATTGATTCTATAGGTGCGATATAATTCGTGAATGTCGCAAGCATGTGATTCGAGCCAAAACGAGGTTCATAAAAGACGACATCTGTTCTACAAGATTAGATCACTTTGTCTAACTCTATTGGCAAGGACTATAGAAATATCACAATAATTTATTGTTCTACTGAAATTCAACCATGCCTGATGGCGGAAAAATGATATTTATATTGAGTATGCCCGCTTAACTGTTGTTGCATTCACTTAATTCACCTGAGATATTTGGCTGCTAACCAAAAGTTTGAGATGGGTAAAATTTACCTTAGAGCATATTAAATAACTGTCCATTACATCTAAATGGATACATCAAATGACGAAAGTTAGACATGCATTAGGAGGTAATCAAGCTACATTAAGACCAGTCACTGATTTCGTTTCGAATGAGATGGTTGAAAGTAGGTAACTTTTACTAGTTATAGTTTAATGTCAATTTGATACGATAAATTGATATTATTTTGCTTCGGAATTATATTCCATTAAGAATAAGAAAGATTTGAACAACTACTCCATCAATTATAAGACTAATGGCGAATTAAGGTGCTCACAATGGTAGACAGGTTTAAATGACTTGAATACCATTCAAATGTGCAAACTTTGTGCTAGAGAATTCTGGAATTTTCCTGTAACCAAGGTTCTAATATTCTGGTGAATTCGAATATAGATCGGAGAACATAATGACACTGCTTCGATTTACGAGTAATATAAACGTACCCTTAATCTTAATAAATTAAGCGAAATGAGAAAGAAAAACAATGGATCAAATTAAATAGTATCTGATGTGATGTCATTAGAACTTGACTATCTTTGAAATAATTAATCATCATTCATAAATCTTAAATTAGCAATTTATTGTTAATTGTTTAGATCTTGCTTTCCAGTTAGTATGTTCTAATTAACATGGTCGATGCATTTCACAAGTTTGATTACATTGTAGAAGTTTGTTTGATCTCGTGTTATTTTTACTTTCAGGGTATCTTCCAAAAGATGTGTAATTTTGATGAAGGACAAGATCAAAATATTTAAAATAAAGGCAGAAATTTTAATAATTTGTCTTCAAAAGGCTCAAGAAGTAAGTAAAATAACCCCCTGTGTCATTTAAAAGCAATTACTTCCTGTATATGATTGATAAAGCGCTATTTCAGAAATGAAAAATATGAAAACTCCTGTGCCACTTTCAGGCACTCTGACTGGTCAAAACTTAGCTTACAGAATTCGTATGAAAGATATCAGATTGGAACGTAGGAATACCAAATAAGTCTTGTATTATGACCCAACTCACCTCCAAATTAATCACAAATTTCAGCCTTTAATTAATAGTACTTAATTTCCTTAATGAAAGTGTGAGATACACAATACGAGCATGGCTGTTTATTGCGACGAAAGCAAAATTAAATGCCACTTAGTAGTTCCGTTTATCTTTTCCCTTTTTAAGAAAAGCACAAGCTACTACGCTGATTGATAAAATTACAATGATCGAGGAAAGGTGAACGCTGTACACCAGCCTGCAAAGAGGATAAGGTCTAAAAGGTCAACAACTAGGCGATAAGTTGAAGTAGGGGTAAATACCAGGATTCTCTCTACTTCCGTGTCATCCTTCATAGTCCATGGTACGATTTCATCCGTTTTTGTAACCCAACAGTAAATGACCCGAAAAATTATTTTTCTGGTCTTCATTCTGAAAATAAAACACTGCTTGTAAAAAGAGTAGCAACAAATCCTTTTCTCGATACTCCACCAGTCTTACTGTAGATTTTTCTCCAAAATTATGCAAATCAACGACCCGTTAATTTAGATATTTTTAATATTTATGCAAATTTCACGAATAATTACCAATAAATTATAAAACTTTTGGAATAAAATTGGTTTTTTTATCCTGCACATTTTTGTTCAGAGATAGATTTATTGACATAAATTCTTAACGTATCTCTAGCCGTTGAGCAGCATTGCTCTGTAAGAAACCTTTATTTCAAAAAAGCGATTTTCCGGTTTCGAAAGTGAAAGGGCTATATAAGAACTAGAGGTAAATAAAAATAATAATTCGAAGCTGTTTGCTAAAATAATAAGCCTTGGCTATACTCACTATCTATTACACAACTATAGAGAAACGCATTTATTTGGTATGACGTCTGGCGTTGACCGTTGATTGTTCGAGAGGCCTCCAGTTTCGTCATGGTACAGTTGTGTTCCCCATAACTTTGGACGCTTTCATCGGATTAGGGAGAAAATTGGCGACTTTTTTGGGAAACACCTGGTAATGATGCCACGTATGCCACTTCGACAGGAGCCAATAAGTTTATCTGCTTATTTAAACAAATTTCAAATAGTAAATATAGGGGACATGGCGGAAATTACGATTTTATTGTCAATTCACTACTAGAAGGCATACTAGTGTTCCTCACCCTCCCCCATGCATGAAGAGAGAAAAAAAGATAAATTAAAAGTGGACAGTCAACTATTTAGTTAGTTGCTAACTCAATTTTGAATCTATTTTTACAGTTGGAATATGGTTGTAATTGGCTCGAGAAAATTACAACTCTTTAGTTAGAAAACGTCATGTTACTGTGACGTAATAAGATTGGTCTGTTGACCACGTTCTGCTTTGATTATGAATCAGAATTGGCATGGAAACGGTATTGCACATACCACCCACTACAAAGCCTTACTTTGCATTCATGTCAGAGTAATAGTTTAATGCAAAGTTACTGGGAGTAAATTAGGAATGTGCCATTAACTATTAAGGGGGTTAGTTACCATCATATTAACTGATTGTTGGTTGGTTTTCTTTTCCTTGACGAACTTAGCGTCTCCTTTATAAAACTTTTAGTGAACATTGGTTGTATGCATTTCGGAAACATTCAATGACATTCATTCAAGGAAATGTTTAGTTGCACAATAGGGAACTTTTCTTGAAGACGGCGTGTATTATTGAAAGGCATTTTTATTAAATAATTTAATCAAGTATCTCACTATGGCACACTCGATCGATTTTACCCACATTAATGCTCATTTGTTGTGGTTTATTCTTTTTAGCTCTTAGACTCCTTCTCACTTTCCAGCACCGGGTGTGCGATAGACTTACCTTCACGTGGTGCACCCTGGGCAATGTATATTCATACGGCAAAAAAAGTCTATTAACTGGCAGTCGACTTCTCACTTCAAACTACCATGACCCCACTGTATGTCATATTCAATCACTTTCACAGTACTCATCCCACCTTTTTTCCACCTTATCTACCTTCGTCTTTGATACACTCTTCTGTCCCCCCCCCTCTTGAATTTTTTACACTTTGATGTTCCTTGCCCTCTGTGAAGACTGAAGTCAACTAAAGGGCTAATGATAACTATCAAAACGCCTGCCATTTGATATAATAATAATAACTTTCCAGCGCTGTAGTATAAACGTTTATATACTCTCTGAACTAATGACAATTTTGTCTACCCACTTCGTTCTGGTAAACGAAAGTTTTTCTTCAACGCGATGAGAAAAATGTTTCTCTAGTTATGCAACTCTAAGGTCATCCCTGCCAACAAAGAAAGCACAGAAGAAGCCAATAACCTGTAATGAAAGGGTCTTCAGATTACAAGAGCCAATATAAAATGGAGTGGACTAATCAAGATAGTGTCCCTCCCAACTGCATGGAAAATTTAGTGGGATTAAAATGACCGAACGCATTAATCTTGTAGCAATTAAAGTGCAAAGTCGATTTCTCACGCGTACGCGTTAGTTGACAGACGAGGATATAAAATTACTGTAACCTAGGTGGCGAATTGCACACTCCTATATGAAGAAGTTAGCAAACTGAAATATCGCAAAATTGGTTCCAGCATTAGAGATAGTTACATCAGACTAAGTTTCTCTCCCTCCCAAGGAGATACGCTTTTAGTTTAAACGATGATGAACTATGTATTTTTTTCCCGTTGTTGGAGTAGTAACCACTAAGCGTCGGGTACTCATTACGGTTTTAAAATTATTTCACATAAGCAAACCATCACCGGTCATATAAAAAATGGGATATTCGTGGGTATAAGCTTAAAACTGTCAATGTGGAATATATTTTGAAGCCCCGCTGTGGTACTACTTCGATGCTACATTTGCCCAGACACAGTGGACAAAAAGGATTTTCAGAGATCAAACAATAGACATTTGGTTGAGTAAGTGGTTTTCAAGCTTTCAATAAACGAGTGTCTTGTAAACTAATACTGTGAAAGTTGGCTCGAAGAACCCATTGCCAATGGGCCGAATTGCTTTCACAGAATTTCAAGGCTTCCTGTCAGGGACATTGAATTGGCCGAGCTCGTTTTCTGTCAGGTTTGGTCCTGGAAATAGACCAATTGTCAACTTCGACGATAGAAAAACAATGGCCACTTCAAAGTTATGATCAAGAAAATTAAAAATCTCGAATATCCCTAAATCATTACGACAGAGGCGCCAATCGCAAGCCAGGGTAATTAGAAACGCATAGCTTCAATATCGAAATTTCTAATTCTCGATATTTTCTCCCTTCAAATTGAGTTAAATTGAAAGGGCTACAACTGCTGTCAAGACCATATCTTCAATACGCATTTTTTAATTGAACGAAGTAATCCGAGCACATCTAGTGATTTCATCTTAGAATAACCTAGGTAGAAAATAATGAGAAGGGAATGAGGGTTCCTGATCGGTGAACATCCAGAATGGCATTGCTGTCCAAAGTGAAATTTGAAAACCGCTCTTTCAATAGGCTTGGAATGATAAACAAGAAATTCGTTCAGGTAGTTTAGGCGCATTATATGACAATGCTGAGCCATTAGTGGTAAAATCATCACTGTCATTAGCCAACTCATGCCTATTCGGGTATAATCTATTTTATACAAAACCTTCATGGCCTGATGACTGTTCATGCAGCAAGTCAATGTCAATAACTACATCAATCCACTTGTAAATTTCACTTACAACATGCACAAATACCTCCTTTATTGTTATCATGAATGGCCAATGGCGCTAATAGGTTTAGATGCTTCGCCTACTTCGTCATCTTGCTTAAGATCAATATTTCCCGACTAGACGCCTGCTTTCCGATTCTCTAGAGATGCTAAACATATATGCCCAAGGCGTAACCTTAGTTATCCTCTCAGAAGTTTATGTAGCTGCCCAAAAGTACAATTAGTCTTTTTCAGAGTCGTCAAGTGTAAGTCGCCCCAAAAATATCTAGGGTACATCAGAAGTAGCAAGAACACAGTAGATATTGTATGCGGAGTTTTTACAGCACAAATACTTAGTAATTATGTACAAATACTACTCTTCAGGAGGTCTCAGCACACGCATCCGTGTGTACCCTCGATTGTCGACCGGTGACATGTGCGTAATTTCAGAATGGTCTGGCGTTCGGGCGGTCCTTGTGGTCAGTCATGGTAGCGCTGTATACAGCACAGTCCATTCTATACTAAACTAACCAAAAATGTTTAATTATAGCCTTCAATTGAGTTAACCTGAACCGCGATAGCTTTCTTTAACACCTTGTAGCACTAAAGTGAAGAAGCGCCACCATCAGCCTTTTGAAGTTAATTACTTTCGGTTGCACGCTTTCCAATGCGATCTTCGGAAAGTCAAATAAGTTTACGAAATCCGGGATAACGGAACCTCAAAGAAAAGCATATCCATACTCTTGAAAGCTCAATTGCCTTCAAAGCTCGACTCCTTCCGAAACCTTGAAGACCATGAGGACAAAGCATAGTCGATCGTATCTCGACAGTAGCTTAAAAAACCGTCAAGACGGTAATCTTCAAACTCCAACTTTCGTGCCCTCAATAAAAGTCAATTTGAAAGCAGTAAATCACTCAACAAAGCTTATATATATGAGGTTAGTTTAGGTAAGATGAAGTTATGAAATTACTCTTAATAGTTTGGGGAGCATTTTCAGAAATAATTTAATGACTTAAACATGCTGACATCAGAAGACAGCTGCTCATAAGTAATTAAACGACAAGCCAAATGCAATTAGATCAGCCTCACCGATAAGAATGGAGCTAAATAAATGGCACATAAGTAGAAGAGATAGTAACGCAGTTGACCAATGTAAATTTCTCTTCTGAAACAACCTGCCTACAAAATCATGGGTTATATACTTAACAGGTTCACATCTTGTGAACATTGTAACCAAACACAAAATGTCTAACAGAATGTGAGTTTCTCCTCAGAGGTCTCAAGACACTATATCTATGCCCAAAAAGAGCGATAAAAACGCTTATCCTCAAATGACGATAATAGGGTTCCGTAATTAATAAGAATAAATTGTGCGTTTGTGCGGGTCACGTGTTTGATAATCAACTGTGCAAACCTAATAGGTAGGATGGGAAACCGCACTGGCTAAGTTTGATTAAAAAAGGGGTGGCGAGAATCGAGTATCTCATTACAATAGGGTTTTATGATGATACTCCTTTAACCAAGGTTAGTGTTGGAAAAGACTTCCAAATAGCGCCAGGAGTTACATGTTATAACAATATGTAATTATATTCTACCTATCATATTTAACTGGGTAAGTCGATATAAATTCCCGAAACATTAAATTAGCGAATGCATCTCTATTTAATATTTAGAAATTTATAACCATCGCGCCACTTTTAAAGCAAAGGCTACTTAAGTAGTATATACCCGAATGGCTGCCGCCCCGAGATGGCCACAACTTTATTATGTAAAGAAGTTGAATATTAACATTCCAGTGATCTTGAGACATATGGAATAACCCACTAGTAATTTTCATAGGAAGTGCCGCCAAAATTTCATAAAAAGGTAACACCAATTAGCTTTGATGATTGGTCATTCACTAAATCAATTTCTATCAAATTGCTCGGGAGGTCTTAAAATACCGGAAAACTCATTCCCATACAAAAAAATTTTGACGAACCAAAGAGTTCCAATCCTACTGTTGTTCATATAATACAGCTGACAATTAAGTGGTCAACAAAACACGAAAAATAAACGAATCAAATTTTATTTATCAAATGGATATATTAATCAAAATTTGTGTTATCCATGCTCCTAGAACCTGGTCACACGATAAAATCTGCATGAGTACTATCTTATTGTTTCCATTGTCAGGCTAGTTTACCGAAATAATTGTAATTCACACAATATCATAAGATACGATCTGGCAACAGCCTATAAACCCCGGAACATTTAGGTAGCTTCCAATATGACATATTTCATCACCGGCTTCCTTCGTAGACAAGGCATAACTGAGTACTGCTAGAGAAGTAATTAAATTATTTGCTCAGGGCAAGTTTAGAGATGACTCATCTGACGACCCGACATGTGATTGGCACAACTTGCCTGCTATTTTAAACACAACCGACGACTACAGCATATGTAACCTGTACAAGGGTTTGGTAGCAATAAATACAACAGGTTTGTAAAGAACAATTTGACAATGCCGCAACACTACCAAATAAATCGTTCACTGCCAGAAAAGAGTTTCCTATAATCGGCCCGAAATCAAAACTTCTTGAAGTACAAAATGGAAAGAAAAATAGAGATATTGAAAAATACTACACGAGTATATACTTTTAACTCTAAGCGCCACAACCCAAGAGCATCAATATGAGTAAGTTAGGCATAAAAGTCCATAAGAGTCTACAATTATATGGATCCAAATATCATCCTCGATACGACCAGTAAATAAGTGGAAATTAAAGAGACTAAAGTTCATCATTCGAGACCCGTGGGATAACCCAAAATCGGGATTGATTATACAGGGACGAATTAGTAATATTATGAAACAAGGCTAACTGCCCAGGGGTCAACTTGCAACCTCTTCGGGAGCACGGATTTGGGGTCGATAGGGGCATACCGAGTGTACTGGACCAACCAGGCTTGTTAAATGAGACCAAAAAAGGGGGACTGAACATGATTCTCTCCCCATCACTACAACCAAGACTATATTATCATTTCTTTACGAAAAGAATGCTGAGGAACACCTTACAAACTGGCTTGCAATTTATCATATTAGGGACACTCTAAACAGCATGAAAAAATGACCACGAAAATATGGTAAAAGAACGATGTGAGCAATGGATAAATCACACCTGATCCTCATAACAAAGCAGAAAGCACTACTTAAAGTACTGCAAAAAGCTCTTGAGTGAGAAAAGCGCCAACATAGCGACGCCAAAAGTGAATAAATCACATCAATTATATGCGCAAAGCATTTCAAGAAATGATTTTACCTAATCATGTTCTCACACCCAGGAACGTGGAAGAAAAATGATAACACGAACGATAAGCAAAAAACTAAATCAGAGTAAAACGGGACTTACTTCACCATTCATCGACACAGACAGAGAAAGAACGACAAGTTAGTAATAGGAGCAATTCACTGTCATTATGAAATAGGGGCAGACAAAGATAGGTAATTTAGAAGACAAAGGAAATGAAGATAGAGACAAAGGGAAAAGAAAATAAAATATTCATATAAGGCTTATGAGACTGATGGAGACATGGACTTGACAATACGAGAAAGAATGGAAGGAGACAATGAACAACATTAGAGATATGTGATTATGTTTCACAGGGGGAGGGAGGAACATCTGATGTTTGAACAAATAGCGGTACAGTAGAAGAAAGTCGGAAAGACAAATTCATGTGTAATTGCAACGCGGTAGTAGTATTCAGAAATAGATGGGAATGTTAAAAGTAGCAGCGAGAAAGTACATATGCAATCCAAAAGAAAAAAGTTTAAATCGTTAACAGCAACCACTTGATGAACCTGAGGCTGCTCCCGACCCACTTGCTGTACTTCCAGCGGGATAGTTATGTGGACCGATTTTAATTCCATTAGCCTAAAAAATGTTAAATTAAACACCACATCAATGTCACACCTTACCTCGTTATTCAAATCAAGCACACCCTCTTGTATCTTCTCATTAATCGATTTGGCAGTCTCGATAAAAGCTTCCTCGACATTTGCGGCCGTTTTTGCAGAGGTTTCAAGGAAAATAAGACCATGTTCTCTGGCAAAAGCCTCACCTTCCTCTCGCCTAACATCCCGACGACTTTCAAGATCGGACTTATTCCCGATCAACATTATAACCATGTTAGAACTGGAATGCTGCTTAGCATCCTCAAGCCAGGAGGTCAAATGCAAGAAGGTGTCACGGCTAATAAAAAATTACAAATTAGAATTCCCACAGCGTACCGAGTTATATCATATACAAGAAGGGCACCAGCGGCACCACGATAATAGGACCGAGTAATAGATCTGAAAGTTTCTTGTCCGGCCTAAAGGTTAAATAAAAACGAATAAATTATCTACAGTATCCCATATCTGTAATTTAATTTGTTTTCCATCGAGAGTAATCATGCGAGCACCAAATTCAACACCAATTGTAAGATCATGAACCGGTTGGAATCGTTTATCAGTGAATTGAAGAAGAAGACAAGATTTACCGACACCTAGGTTTGAAAATGACAGAATATACCAAACAAACCAGTGTCGCCGATAATGATATACTTAAACATATACGAGTACGACATTTTCTACAGTTTTTGTGAAGGGCGCTTCCAAACATATATAAGTATAAACGAAATATTGCCCGGTCAAAAATTTATAATTTTTATGAATATTATATATTAACTTATTTTTAAAATAAATTTTGTTATGCACAAACATATACTTGACGTGTACATTAACTTAAAGCGTTCACTTCAAAATATGTCGCGTTTCTGGTCGTTACTTCTGCTCTATCTTTGTCAGTTTCCCTGTCTTTAAAATGTTTGCCGTCTTTTTCGTCATTTAAAGCTTTGTTTACTGTGTATTTACACAAAGTAGCTTATTATCTAACGTTTGATTGATACTTCTCAATTGTGTTATCTTCCACGTTGTACATTTTCTTACCTTTTAAGTCAATATCCGTTATAGGTGCTCAGGTCAGTTGTCAGGATGTTGAGATCGGTGATGATGAACCAATTTTGCCTCCCAAAACTCAATCTGAAAATGAACCTACTGCAAGTTTTGCTTGCTATCGTTTCACCCTGTTATTATCAAATTTTGCTTAATTCTATTACTTATTTTATAGGTAGAGGAGGTTGATTTTTACAAGGGATCGGCAGATATCAGTGCCTTACTGTCTTTCGTTGTTCCACCACTTGGCCAACCTGAATCCACTAATGCAATCTCGCTTGTTGCTGGAAAACCAGCCACGTTTATTGTCTCTTTGGAAAACAATCCAAAAAGCTCAAATTCCTACTCTCTGTACATTCTAGAGGCTTCTTTGCACTATCCTCGTTACTTCGGATATCACATTCAAAACTTCACTGTTCAGCGTCTTCAGAACACTCTAGAACCCAAACAGCAGGTTTGTTTCAACATATCGCGGTTACAATAACATGCTTTATTTTTTTACTAATTTGAATTTGCTTTTAGGCTAGCCTTCTCTATACCTTTGTTCCAGCTGTACAATTGGCTGCTCAACAGTTTGATCTCGCTGTCATTTTGACCTATCAAGATCAAAATGGAAAGCCCTATTTTCATTCACTTTTTAATCAGACCATCTCAGTAAGATCTCTTCTTGCCTTTTGAGGATTGCCCATTATAACTGATTGATTACTTGTTGCCTATTTTAGTTCCTCGAAGATACTGATGGCGCAGATATTGAGCTGCTTTTCTTGGGTATAATTATCTGCGGTGTCATTGTTCTGGTCCTCGTTTTCTTGTGGCACTGGATTTCAAGCAAGACCAGTCGCAAGTCACATCGGTCTACAACTTACAGTGCTGTTAATGATGTGAAAGAAAATGGATACACCAGCAAGAAATCTACCAACCAGGCCATCTCAGGTGGGCTTTATCTCACTTCGGTCATATCTTTTTATATGCGTAATTCTCATGAACTTTTTCTTTCACAGAGAATTCTAATGGGAAAGTGAAGCAACACAGAAAGTAAACTTCATGTTCTATATTTCTCTTGAAACCTTTTTGTCTCCACTTCTGTACACTTTTATCCTTACACTTTCTTCTGCCAATCTCAACTTTCTAACCCGTAATTTTCTTTTTTAAATTTGTCCCTTGTCCTTTGCTTATTGGATGTTCTTTCAGGATTGGCCTGCGCGTCTTGCCTGATGCATTGTGTAGGTGATAAAATGCATTTTGGTACTAATCTTTTTTGTTTTTGTTACTTCAATTCATCTATGGGTTTTGAAGTGGTAGCATCAGAGTAGATTAAAATGAAATTAATCACTGGACTCGAGGCCACGGATGATATTTGATTGACTAAATCAACTCAGTTAACAAGTAGCTAACCAGTGCTTATATATGGTCTGGTTGGTTGACATGATTATTGTAAATTGGCTGAGAACGCTCTACTCAATACTTTACCAATAACTACTCACTATTTTGTCAGATTGTTAATTCAATTTATGTTTAGTAAAATAGTGACGTCGTGCTCTTGCTGCCGTTTGGGTCATTAACTTTTAAATACCCGTGTTAGTTCTCTATTCCCTGGAACAATCTCAAAATCATGCCGATCTAGCCATACGACTAATGATTGATGGGTTCTTTTATCTGAGCTAAACAGATCTGGTTTAAAAGGGAAAATTCATACGAGGCCTTCATATTTTAAAAACCTTAAGAACGAAATCAATTAGACACCCTATTACTTAAGAGAATGAGGGTATAGCTGCATCATATTTGGAGCATAATTAAGCATGCCAATGAAATTCTGACATGTGTGAATATGCGCGGATAGAAACCCACGCGAATTACAGTCATTCAGGACTACTTAAAAACTGCTATTTGCTAATTTGCTAACAGGAGACTTCACGTCAAAGTAAGAGCTTTATGTCAATTAAAAGAATTTCGACGCCACCTTGAGCCAGTCTATTAATGAGAAGATAAGGCATGGTCAATCTATTCAGCTACTAAAGTATAACCCCCCNCCCCCCCCCCCCCCCCCCCCCCCCAAGCATTTAAGAAGTGTGCTCACAACCTTGTTGGGTCAAAGTGAAGCAACGTCACCAAGCAGGGTAGACCAAATGTGAAGACTTACTTATTCCTGTCCTTGTTCCCTAACACTTATAGTCCCAACGCCCTTTATGTTTACGGACTGTCTTTATGTATTGTGGCATAATATGAATTTATTTAGGTCAAGATTCGTACAGAAGATTGTTAAATAATTTTCAGTAATTGGTTCAAGATCGGCCCTCTACCTGGCAAATGACAGTCTTTGCCTGGATCGATAAGATGTCAGGAGCACCGTGTGCCTACGTATTGGTCAAAATAATGGGTGACTGGACGAACATCAGTGGAAGTTGCTCATCCCCAGACAAAGCAAGTGCTCCATGACTTTGCTCTATGTCTGTCGGTGTCCTACGACATTGACATGCAATTATTAAAAGAACTGCTATCCCAAGTCAATACTATTCATTGCGTGGGCCTATATAGAATGAGCATTACGAATCATAAGAACCGGAAAGATGGTAGAAGTTGGTCTACTGTCAACAGTTTGACATAAGATAGGAAGATAAAAAGCTTGGCATATTGTCTCTATGACAGCATTTTTTCACTGACGTGGTCCTAGGGGTATGAAAAGTAGCGAAGACTACCCAAGCGAAGTTCATTAGTGCTGTCACACATGCGCTGAATCATACATGCCTGCTTTTCCACTGCTCCCATTACTCGCAGCTTAAGCGTCCAACTCTACCTAGGCAAATGCCTTCTGATTCAGGCCACTTCAAAATCACCCAGCGAGTTAACATGTAATGCTTCCTTCCGACTGTTACTTGAGTCCACTTCTTCAGACTTAATCCTCCTGCATCTCTTGGCTATTTATTAATGTAAAGTAAATAGGGTGTCAGATGATTAACTATGGTTCACATTTTATTCGTCCCAGTATGCTCTGGGTGAAACCGAGATTCCAGGCGTCAGACCACATGATAAATTAACTTCAAGAAAAGGTGGCTTGAATATTGACTGACTCCCTCCCCACCACCTCCTCCATCACCAAGTGCACTTCGTTAGTCTATCCAATCTGCTTTAACGATAAAGTACAATACAATATGGGGTGTGCGATAGACTTACCTCCACGCGGTGCACCCCGGGTAACGTATACTCATACAGCGGAAGTCTATTAATAGGCAGTTGACTTCTGACTTCAAACTACCATCACCTCAGTGTATGTCATATTCTACCACTTCCACAGTACTCATCCTGCATTTTCTCTGCCTTTATGTCTGTCTATCTCTTATACATCTGTGAATCACTCTTCTGTTCCCCACCCCTCGACTTTGTTACTTTGATATTCCTTCCCCCTGTGAAGCCCGAAGTCAGCTAAAGGGCCATTGGTAACTACCAAAATGGCTGCCATCTAAAATAAATAATTAAGCGCAGACGCGCTCATTCTGGGATCTACTGGGGCCTTTTTTCGTAATTTCCCATTCAAATTCGCATATCCAGGAAAACTGAAATAAACATCATCGAGTTAAATTAGCACAATTTTCCAAAGCAAGTCCGTAGATGAATTAATGTTAATTTGTAAATTCATGGGCACATACAACCCACAAGATATATACATGATCAGAAATTTATGAAAACAGAGCCTCTTCCTCAGGAGACAATATGGAACTTCGCATTGGAACATCCTCATCAGCCTCGACCCTCTTCGCCGACTTAAGAATACCTTGAATTGGCTTATTTTGATGCTGAGGAGGTACCAATGCAACTGATTCCTCAGCATTTGCGAATTCAGCTGTAACTTGAGCACGGAAGGTCATTCTAGGGAAGACCCTCTTGTATAGAGGCATCAAAACCACATCCGATGCAATAAGTTGACGATCAAATTGACACTTCATCAGACCGTGAGTACCAACCGACTGTTTGATATGACCAACAGCGCCCGATTTTGTAAACATTTGGATTGGCTATTAGAAAGGAAGTTATCGACGTCAACTAGTCTTATAAATTAATTAGATAGCAGGAACTGAAACGAGGTGACTCACTTTAAAGTATTCAACGTCTTCAGGAGTGTGAAACATGTAACGGATAACAGCCGAACGTTTATTGATCTTATAGGGATGTCCTGAGAGAAGAATACGCTTGACGATTGCCCTTGTGGGATCAACGGAGTGTACAGAACCAGTAGCAATAAGATTACTCAAGCGCATCTTATTACCACACTACAACAATTGATAACACATTTCGCTACTACGCCTTCAAAAATAATAATAAAAAATTACAATGGTCACGCACCTCCGCTGGCTCAATACGAAATTGAAGAGCGGTTTGTGGAGCGTAGATAACCGGTGCATACATTGTGGCGACAATAGGAGAGTTTGCAAGAGTAAAAAAGCGCTCCATTTTTGAGTTTGAGTTGACCCTCTTGAGGGGTTGAGAGTAGATGGGATTTGCGGTAAAACGACGAATGCCAACCTGAATGAGGTGTAGGATAAATTAGATCAGATATAAGTCAGAATAAAATACATGGAGCTTTAGGTGCTCCTAAAAGTAAACCAGAACTCTAAAGACCAAGTTGAGGGAAGATGTACTAGGTTGCTGATAGGAAGTGGAATTGAATCATTGAATGTGCTGCGCCAAATCCATACAAGCGTATGTGCAATTCGTCCATCGCGCCCTTAATTCTCCCCTAAAATTCTCTCTCAGATTAACACTTGAGAATACAATCTCACCACTGCTATGCAAATTGTGTTTCCAAGCGGATAATCTATCCTATGTGGCCAAAGTTATACACACCTTAGACAACAGATTTTTCGACTTCTTTCTATTGGGTCAGTGTAGCCTAGATTAAACAAGTGTCTTCTAGATTACAAGGAGATGTCATTTCAACGTTAACACAGGCCTGATGTTTATTTGCGAACCCGCCACTTACGTCACATTTTCGTTAAACGCAAATTTGTCAATTATTTTTTCAAAAAAACGAGAACACCATACCTGGAAGAGCATAGGTTCCTTGGCCATAATTGGATCCGGATCAAGCTGACCATTCTTCCCAGTTACCTCTTCCCCTACCTCTTTCATTTCAGCTTCATACTCCTGCCTTTCCGACTGACGTTTGTGCATTGTGAGATGCAATACCGACATACATCTCTCATATGGAAGAAGGGACCATAAAGTGAGAGGTCTGGGATGAGTAGCATCTGTATGGCATTCCAAAATAGATGTTCCAAGGGCCTGTGGAATAGGACCCAAGGCCAGATTAACAACTGAACCGGAGGGAATATGCGTCGGTTCTTCAGGTTTATTCTCCTCACTTGCAAGCTCCCTCAGAACCTTTAAAGTGTATTTGGAGAGTGTTCTACGATTATGGGAGTATTTTCCAAACCTAATCAACCGAAAGTAATGAATTATAACTGATCGTCATATTATAAGTATGTATGATTTTAAACAATTAATGAACCTGAAGATCTTGCTATACTCAAACGGGAGGGAGGTATCATTTTCCGTGGGCCAGATACATTCACTGAAGCTGGGTATACCACGATACTTAACGAACCTCTCACGAGCAGTAATGTTATGAGGGGTCTCTACTTCATCGGGAAAAAGGAGTTCTGTTCTTGAGGCCTTCAGCTTGTCAATCGCGGATGGAATTTCGGTTACTTCGGATCTATTATTGAAAGTGACACCACCCTTGATCGAAGTGTCTTCATTCTCATTAACGTCAAAGTAAACGGAGTCATCATCACCATCAGACTCTGGTGGAGCAGTAGAATTATTTCCGAACTCTTTTTCGTCATCTTCCTTTTCATCAACAGACATTTCTTCACCTATAGAAAGGAAACAATAAGGAACAAAGATGGACGTTAATCAATCATTACCCAAAAATTTAACTCCAGATATGCGTTTGTTACGACGACTCGTTCATTTTTTGCACATATATAGGACAAAAAAGAGCACAATATCTAGTGAACTATAGGAGAACATGATGAAGGTCCACAATTCCTAGACGCCACAATGACATTTGGAAATCAGTTGCTCGAGTACAAATATGGTGATGGATGCTCAGATCGATGCAAAAGGTCATCGGAATTGTTTAAAAATTGTGGCCTTTTATGCAGGACGGGGGATTTGTTTTCATATGGCTCCCAAATGATAGATATTTGAATTTTAAAACACGGGTTACTTAACGATTGCAAGTACACCCACCTCGACCAAAGTATAAACAACTGAATGAGTTGTGCGGTAAACAAATAAATTTTTTGAGTCTTTTTCCATGTTTTGAAATCCGGAAGAAAGAGGAATATTTCAATTGAACTATAACCCCAACATCTGCTACAAATTCAAGACAGGTGAGCTACACTACCTTGCAAAAATAAGATTTTCCTATTTCAAATGGAGACCACAAAGAGCCATACCAAACACTTAAAAATCCAACTGCGAGAGCATTATTTATCTAATGAAATTCATCGTTAACATACCTTCATCGAATTCGGTGCTTTCTTCATCCTCCAAGTCTTCGTACTCCTCATCACTTCCTCCTAACTGCAGATTATCCCAGGCAGCTGTGAGAGCATCGGCCAAGTGCTCATCAGATTCCGAGGTGGAATTCCAGGTGAAGGTCCGCGGGGTGGGCTGATGTAGTTTGTGGTTGGGTTTGTACTCTCTCCAAGTAGCCCAACGGAGAGGAAAATCTCCCCATCCAGTCACATGGATGTAGGGACAACCACTACGCTTCTGATCCTTGAAGTAGGAAGATAAATCAAAGAGAGGCATATCCCATCCACGAAGTAGACCTTCCACCTTTAGGTACACATCGCCTTCTAGAAATGAAAAAGAATGAATTACACAATAAAACAGATTATATGTTGAGATTGAGGCGCAACCAATAAAGAACGCCGAAAACAATAAGATAATAACTCTTGAAGAATTTAAATATACTGTCTGATATAAAGTAAGGTGCTGAATAACTTGGGCGCTATGGCCGTAGACATTGTAAGAGTACTCATTTTCAGTGAATATTGAATAAAAATTGAAAACAGAAATAACTTTAATTTATTTTTTCCAGCTAACTGCATTCGAGGAAAACAAATTTTGACGTAATAACGAAATCTGAAATCAGAATGCTAAAGCATAAGAAAATCTTACCATTTTCCTCATGTGGTTCAACATGGATCGACTCTACAAGCATTCCACTTCGAAGACGCGAAGCAGCGGTTCCAACCTTGAGGGCGTTCTTAGTTGCTAGGTAGCTATTTGCCGATGATAATGGGGGTTTTTTCTGGGACTGAGAGAGAAAACGGAGGAGACTGTGAGCATCATTAGTAGAATTCAGTGTGCGAACCTTTCCATCTTCGACTGAGAACTTGGACTTATATAAAATAAATAAAGATTGCGGAGAGGCACGACTGAGTAAAAAAAGGATAAACTGAAAAAATACCTGTATCAAAGAAAGAATTTCTTTGCGATCAGAAATATTAGACATGATAACAAAGACGGAGGGTGGGAGACCTTGGGCGTAGAGGGCAGTCATGATCTCAGAGTAGATATCCATATCTATCTTAAGCAAGTCACCAGGAAGGACAAAAATGATCCAATCAGCCATTCTAGCAAGGTCAAGACAGCCGAAAAGATCCCCATATTTTCCATTTACAAAACAAAAGGACTTCTTAAGACTTGGAGAGAAAATGTAGCTGGCTTTGAATGAATTTTTTGGAAGATCGATATCAGGCAAAGGGGTTTTGACTGACTTTGAATCGCCTTTAGAAAGCATAACTTGCGCAAGCGACAAGTCTATACTATTGCTTAAAGGGAGCAACAAGCACATAGTTGGCTTTTCCGTTTGTTTTTGAGCTGTTACTATCTATAGATGGCAACGTAAGTAACTAAAAAGGAACAAACCATTTTATTCTTTAACAGTCTCTGCTGTTTGGCCAAGTGCTTTCTATCTTTCTTCGACATGTTCTTGACTGTAGTTCCAAATTTCTTGGTTGAATCTAAGGAAATAGTTCTCTTCCTCTCCCCTTTGTGCTTTTTATTTGTTTGTTTCAAGCTTCCACTGACATGCCGTTGCATACCCATTGCTGGCGTGACTTACGGGTGGAAATGTTTACACAGGCCAACGAATACAGGCTAAATATATCAGAAGGCGCTCAAGTGATAACTAAAAGAGCACGTGATTGAATACAATTTAACTCAATGTTAGAATTAAATCTTCACTTATTTTTTAAACATATTATTGATCATATATTTAAGTGCTAAAGATTTCTTTTTTATTTGATTCAATAGTTCAGCTGTAAGTACAGTTAACGGAGCGAAAATATTTACTAATCGATTATTTTGACGAATTGCGTTATTTACAGACAAAAAAGTTTCTACAATCATTAATTAATGTTCACTGATATGAATGGTCATTTTTCTCATTAGTTACTTTTATCCCAAAACAAAATACGTGCGAATTATTCCAATTTTTATCAGAATTAAATTATATCATCAACAATTTTAACGCAATTTTAAAGTATTTGTTGAGAACATTTGATATTTTTGCACTGCCAGTTAAGTATCGTGTTGTCTTCTTACCCCATATGATTGATAACGGATTTTTTGTTCATTTTTCATCAGTTATCAATAAGTATACAAGCAAGAACAGGAGGACAAAATATTAGTGTTTTGAAAAATGAAAGAACACGAATTGAGATTCAGATTCGTGAAGTATTAATGATATTTTTTGCCTTTCGAAGTCACAAAGTTGGATTTCACAATTAGGTGTTAATATGTTAGGAAATATTATATTTAGGCAACCATACTCAGCTACGTTTTCCTCATGTAAATTCTACGAGGCGTTCGATAACACTGGCACATCAAATTACAACAATTATATCATTGAATACAAATTTATCAATAGAATATTTCTTCATGCATCTGCTAATATACTGTTTGAACTTATTAATGAGGAAACGCCAGTAAAAAGCTTGAATGTATGAACGACAAAAAAAGCCGATGATATAGAAACAGGGGACAAGGTGAATTTCACACTGAAGAGTAATTGGCGCATTAGGGTCCATGAATGCACTGAGCGTAAATATGACTGCCAGAATGGAATAGAAAGACTTCCATAAATAGAATATGCAATACAAAGGACGTCATACTTTTGTTAATAGAAAAAAAATTAAATCAATAAATTTAAAATTTTTATTGACGTACGCTTTCATTACTTAGCCTTATATTAACTGGTAGAAAGATAAATAACACGTGTCTACGTACAAAGTGTGTTTTTATGCACCAGGTAATGAAATAAAAATGCAAAGAATGTATTTAATGATTGAGATTTTCTAACCAATAAAGTCCGTTTTATGATTAACTGCATCCGCCCGTCGTTTATTTCACCTCTTTGCTTTTTCTATTAACGCCCAAGCCACATAGCTTTAGTTTAACTTTTCAATTAAAGCATTATTATTTTAATTGCCGTTGAGCAATTATTACCAACAAGATTGTCCAATGATCATTAGAGTCTTGGCCAGAGCTTTGACAGATAAATAATAAGACTTTTTAGGTTGGTGGTGTTTTGTACGATTACCAAGCTGTCGGAAAACAATAACTCGGACTTTCAGGAAGGCAACTACAAACAATCCATGAATATTTAATTGGAAAACAATTTCCTAATTTAGTATTTAAAATGTTCATGAATTAGTATAATTTCCCAAATAGATTCTTTCGCTCACTCTTGCCTATTGAATTGTGAAGCAGAAAAGTTTGTCATAAGATAGTTGAAAATGTAAACATCCCTGGTTTTACGGTTGATGGTTGATACTGGGGAAATCTTTCAGTTGGCAGAGGTTAGTGCTTGTTGTTGTCTGCTAAAGGTCTATTGAAGCTAATATAGGGAAGAGTTAACATAAAGAAGTGAAATGATTCTGGACACCACTTCTCGGGGAAACTGAATTCATGCAAGATTTATTTATGGACCAAATAATCAGTCTATCAAACTAATTAAAACAAGGCACCTGAGGACACGCGATGGTTCACTACGAGAGACTTGGGGTAGAAATAATTAGATTTCGGAGATTAATATTGACCTTGATAAAAATTTTGAAAATGCATACGCATTAGTCATTCAAATTAAAGTGCTTTTGACGTTGGTAGAGGTGGAATGAGTGAGCCATTCAGCTACAGGAACATTACTTTATTTACATGACGAACAACAGGGATACACTCGTCTTCCTTGATGAATGCGTTCTGAGGGGGGGGGGGGGTAGGAGACTTGAAGAACATCACGCAGATGACAATTACTAACATATTTTCGACTTTGCTAGATCTAAAGTTAAAGAAAGCTGTTGATGCCGTCTCATCTCATCTCATACCACCCAAGGCAGGTGAAGGAAGGCAAAAACAAACCTTTAAGACGAGAACGCCATAAAAGTTTTAATTTATTCACAGTGACGTAATCGCTCCCCTTTTATTCGTATTATTATTTGGCTAAGTTTATTTTGCCAATAAGTATCGGAAAAATGAAGACTTTTACATTTTGAGCGAAGTTGGAAGATTAGAGATATTTATTTATTTCAAATGGCAGGCTTTATGATATTT